GAACTGGGATTCATGGACACTCCCTTGGTATCAGATCCCAAGGACACCATTATTCAGGATTATGAGGTCTTAAAGACTGATGAAGGTGCCTCTTTCAGGGGCCTCTTAGCAGATCACTGTAAACTTCCTGTTGGCCACTCTGTAGATGAGATTCTGAGACTGGTTCAGGCCTTCAGTTTACTGACAAAATGGGGAAATGTGCAGCTGGCAAGAAGCCTAGCAGTAACACCATTGAGTCTAATGTCCAAAGGCGCAAAGAATATTTCTCCAATCAGCAGTGACTGCTGAGCCATTTTGGTGGTGGGCTGAAGTGGGCATGTATGAGAACAACATCTCTTTTGTATTTTTTTTATGCTTAAACACAAGATGTGGTGTGGCTCAAAACATGCCTTTCCTATAGTGACTGGGAAGTTCAGCTCTTCTTGCACTGGTGGGAATGGCTGAGCTATACTGTGAGGCAGGCCATCTGAGGTATATGATGTACCCATAATGGCACATAGGCCATTGATCTTTTCTAGTGTCTATTAGACTTGAACTGAGACCTTGGAAAAATAGCCCAACCTAATCCCCAGTGAGTCTATTCATTACAAAATAAGGATCCGATTGTAGAAATTTGGAGTTATCTTAGGTAGCACTGAATTCCCAAGAATATTTCTGGAGAGGCTTTGATATTACTTTTATATAGCTTTCAAACTTGCACAGAGTCCAAATTGTAAATAAATTAACATACATAAATGGAACACTAATTTAAACTTGGACAGGAGACAGCAGAATGAACTATTTCCATTAGTTGCAATGGGGCAAAGAATTTGGGACCTTTTATGAACAGGAATGAATCTGAGCAGCACAGGTAGGCTTGTCAGACTAAAGGACAGTTTCTATAGAAACACCAGACATCTTGATAAAAATTTGTCAATCCCCCAAAATAGATGTGACATGGAAAGTTTAGTAGTACCAATGCGCACTACAGCTTATAGTCTTCACTAAATCAAATTTTTATTTCTTTTAAGTAATGTGTTGCTTCTAAACAAAGTATATACTTTTTTTTCTTTTCAAATTTTTTGGGGGTATTACTGTTTTGTTCTTTGGATTTTTTCTTTGTTTGTTTTGTCTAGTTTTGAGACAGGTGTCTTGCTATGTAGCCCAGGCTGACCTCAAACTCCCAACCCTCTTTCCTCAGCCTCTTATAGTGCTGGGAGCACAGGCATATACTGCCATGTCTGTAGTCAACGCTTCTTCACCCAGTGTTCAATGTATTATGTACATCAATTAATGATTTTCAACAATACTACAATTCTTCCCGCTGGCCCTAAGACACAGAAATTAAAAAGAGTAATGAGCCATGCACTAGTAGATCCTTTCTTCAAAAAGAAATTACTTGTCAAGAAAAAATGCACCTGAAGGACAGGAGCATAATGACCAAGACACAGTGAGTGAGGCAGAAATCAGGAGGATCATGATTCAAAGCCAGCCCAGGCAAATAGATCTTGAGACACAGTGAGCAAGGCAGAAATCAGGAGGACGATGATTCAAAGCCAGCCCAGGCAAATAGATCTTGAGACCCTAAATCAAAAATACCCAACACAAAAAAGGAATGGCTCCAGTGGTAGAACACCTCAAGTGTGAAGCCCTGAGTTCAAATCCAAGTACCACCAAAAAAAAAAAGTAAAACACTCTGATAGAACCCCCTTGAATCTACCTTAAATTAATTTCCTTGAATTCTCCTGATTCCTAAAGAGAGATAGAAAATTGTTTCTCTGAAATATATAATTTGCATAAAGCTTTTTTATAACGTTTTATTTTCAAAATTTTTTTGGTGGTACTGGGATCAAATGTTTTTGATGTACACCTAAATGTCCTAGAAATAAGCACCACTGAATAAACCTTAAAGAGCTTTAACTCTGCATTGGCCATAAACCAATCATTTGACATAGAACCAGCAAACTCATACAAAAAGGGTGTTATCATCTAAGATGTGTAAAGGAGTCTAAAAAACATTGTGTCTCTATCCTTATGAGGCAAGACATTTTTAAATATCAAACTTAACTGTTACCATGCAAAATACCATAGAATCTAAAGGTTTTCCACCCAATGAGATCTTTCTTGTGCATCTTAGAGCATGGAAATGACAAAACTTAATCTCTGTCAAAATAGCATGAGCCTGCCCCAATGCAGAAAATCATACAAAGAAATGATTTCTTTTGTTTATTTGTTTGTTTTATCTTGTTTTTCAGCCAGATTCTCACTAGGTAGCCCAGGCTTTCAATCCTCCTGCCTCAGTTTTCCAAGTGCTGGGATTACATATGTATACCACTACACTGGCATTAGCCTGATTTCTTTACCAAGGAAGTGTTGTGACAAAACAAGAAAAGTATAACTTTCATAGATTAAAGGATAATTAGAAATGTTCACTATCATAAGTCACTAGGGAATTACAAATTTTAAAACATTGAGATGTATTTGGTTAGAATGGTTCAAACTCCAAAATGCTGACAACAGCAAATGCTGGTGAGGATGTGGAGCTACAAAAACTCTCATTCTGCTAGTGAGGATGTAAAAATGGCACAGTCACTTTGGAAGATGGTTTCCCAGCATCTTACAAGATCAAGCAGTCTCAGTCTCTCAGTCTTAGTCTCTCAGTCTCTCTCTCTCTCTCTCTCTCTCTCTCTCTCTCTCTCTCTCTCTCTTGCAATACTGGGGCTTGAGCTCAGGGTCTACAACTTGAGACACTCCAACCAGGCCTTTTTTGTAAGCAGTTTTTTCAAGATAGGGTCTCAAGAGTTATTTGCCCTGGCTGGCTTTGAACTGTAATCCTCTTAATCTCTGCCTCCTGAGTAGCTAGGATTACAGGCATGAGCCACCAGTGCCTGCCATTAAAGTTAGCCCAGGCTGGCCTTAAACTCGTGATCCTCCTGCCTCATCCCTTCGCCTTATTGATTACTAGCATGTGCCACCATGACCAGTCAAGCAGTCTCTTACAACACAATCTAGCAATAGCACTCTGAGGTATTTACCTACATAAACTGAAACTTATGTCCACACAAAAATCTACACATAAGTGTTTATACCAGCTTTACTGATAATTACCCAAACTGGAAGCAACCAAGATGACTTTCAATAGGTAAACTGATAAAACTGTGGTACATCCATACAATGAGTCTGCACTCAGCAATAAAATAAGTTATCAAGGAAAAAAATGAGAAGGAACTTTAAATGCTATATCTAAGGAAAAGAAATCAATATAGAAAGGCTACATAATGATGTATGATTCCAATTACATGACATTCTGGAAAAGGCAAAACTATTAAGACAGTAAGATCAATGCTTGCCAGGGGTTGAGGAAAAGAGTAAATAATGGAGCGTGAGGGATTGTGAAGCACAAAAACTGTTTTGTGTGATACTGCAATGGTAGACACATGACTTAAGAATTTGGCAAAACTCAGAAAACTATATAACACAAAGGCTGAACCCTAATATAAATTGCAATTGTAGTTAATATTAATTCATCAGTTATAACAAGTGTAAACACCAATGCACCATTGCAAGATGTTAATTATAGGAGAAACTTTTCTTTTTAGGAGAAAACAAAGATTTTTAGGAGAAAGAACAGAAAGGGGATAGAATGACAGGCAGTTATGCAAAGGGCCACACTGTGCTAAAACAGGGTTTAGATTAAGTTTTATACCTCAGGTTAGACTTCTTTTGATTGGCTGTCTCCCTTTTTGTGGACCTTACCAGTAGGTTGTCTCTTCCTGGGATCGGGGTTTAAATTTCTCACACACGGGAACATTTCTGTTCCATCTGGTTTCTCCCAGGGCCCTGGATCCACGTGCTACATTCCATCTCTTCCTTAGTATGCCTTTGTCTGCCATGTTTCCTCAAAATGGGGGCCTCCTCCATATTCTTTCCTGACAGAACAAAAAGACAATCCTGGTTTTAATGGGGTGAAGTTCTCTTCTTCTTGAAACTGCTTTGAGCTGGGTAGGGTCATAGAGATGTCCCTAACTATGTATTTGTTGTTCTGGCAAAGGATTATGGAGCAGTCCATGGGGACATGGCAGGATCTAACTGAATACTGGAATAAAGTTGAATGGAAGTCTCATTGTGGGGAGAAGAAGCACTGAAGGGTCAGGTGGTAGGGGATGGAACACATGTTGTCACACCATTTATAATTTTATGACCAAGAGGCAGAAAGAGACAAATCTGGTAAGAACATTAATAAAGCAAGGACCAATAGCAAAAAACAACTAAAACAGATACTAGTGGTCCCAAGAAGGAGGGTTGGTGAAATGGCTCAAGCTGTACAGCACCTGCCTAAGTAAGGAATCTATAAGTCCTGAGTTCAAACCCCAGTGCCACAAGAAAAAAAAAGAGAGAGATCCCAAGAAGGGAAGAAACCAGGACAACCATGACCAGGTATTTTCCCATGAAACCATCTTTGGATAGCTCTTTCTCTAAGTTGAGAAGCTTGGTGGTTTATAACATATGAATCTTAGTTTGAATTTGTCCTGATCTATTAGCCATAAAACAGCACTCTTCCCGAAGTTTAGCACAGGTTTCCCTTTGGGCAGCAGTGAGCATATTTAAAGCATATTTGAAGACAACCTTAAGAGTCAATTTGTTTTATACATCAAGGGATTAGGCTAGAATATCTAAAGCATTAAGTATCTGAAGTGACAGGATTTTATAGATTTGGGAGCAAGAAATAATTCCACCCATTCCTGTCCTATGTCAGATGTGATTTTTGAAGGCTATTAGTAGAGGCATGAGTTGGATAGCCCTCCTTTTTTTTAAAGAGATTGTGGGTGTTCATACATAGGGAAGAACATCTGAAGTTATAGGAACAGCAGGTAATAGAAAGACTAATTTTTGTTCAGTTAGAAGGTAGAGAGGCATGGGCATTAGAGTTAGCAACCATGCTTTAAAATTCCTTTCTAAAAACATCACCACTCTTCTATGGGAAATACTTTATTCATTTAAAACTTGCTCTCGAGCCATTTTCTGTCCAACCAAACAGCCGATTGGAGACGGGAGCCAACCAGGGCTGCATTGGAGGTTGAAATTGGGCAAAAATTGGACACCTTTTTAGACAGCTGTTCTTGAACACCACTGACAACACAATTCTGACAGTATTTCATGACAATGGATGGTGACAGTTCCACAACAGATGCTTCTCAATTAGGGATTTCTGCAGACTACATTGGAGGGAGCCACTATGTCATACAGCCTCACGACGATACTGAGGACAGCATGAATGATCATGAAGATACAAATGGTTCAAAAGAAAGCTTCAGAGAACAAGATATATACCTTCCAATTGCAAATGTGGCTAGGATAATGAAAAATGCCATCCCTCAAACAGGAAAGATTGCAAAAGATGCCAAAGAGTGTGTCCAAGAATGTGTAAGTGAGTTCATAAGCTTTATAACATCTGAAGCAAGTGAGAGATGCCATCAAGAGAAGCGGAAGACAATCAATGGGGAGGACATTCTCTTTGCCATGTCCACTTTAGGCTTCGACAGTTATGTGGAACCTCTGAAACTGTACCTTCAGAAATTTAGAGAAGCTATGAAAGGAGAGAAGGGGATTGGCGGAGCAGTCACAGCTACGGACGGACTAAGTGAAGAGCTCACGGAGGAGGCATTCACTAACCAATTACCAGCTGGCTTAATAACTGCAGATGGTCAACAACAGAATGTTATGGTTTACACAACTTCCTACCAACAGATTTCTGGTGTTCAACAAATTCAGTTTTCATGATCTGAAGAAATGATGGAACAGGAGTATAGAGAAGCAAGAGCCTGTACAATTTTGGAACAGAGACATTAGAAGGAAATGACTGGTGAAGATGTCTCTTTGTACACTAAGTAGCTGTAATGTAGCTTCCTGATGCTTGACTAATTGAGGTGTTAATTTTGACTTGAGAATCTTTTTCATGAATGATTTTAAAGAAAATTTTGGATTTTAAAGGTATTAAAATATTTTTGTTTTGTACGAGAGTTTGTTGCTCTGTATGATGCCTGTATGCATTGTATATTGCAATTTATTACTGTCAGAGATTTGTAGACAGTTTCTTATTTTCATATTGAATCATGTTACTTTTGTAATTCAAGTAAGCAGCTTGATTAATTCATGATGTTTGCCCTTTTAATAAAGTATAAGGGTAGAGTTCATTTTGAATGCAAGTTGCCTTTATTATAAATTTGAGTTTGTCTTGGCTCTATAATTTCTTGCATGATAACCTAGCTGGATCTTTAGCATTTGCCGTATTTATTGAAATTACTTTTTTTGGCAAAACATTCATAGCTTAAGCAGCACCATTTTTTAAGAAAATGTAATTGAATAATGAAGTGTGAATGCGGAAGCAAATATTGTTGCCCTATAAAACTCGGTGCCCATTAACAGTGTTTACACTGTTCATTGTGCCTGTTAACGTAGTTTTAGTTACTGATACTTTTGTTAACACTAGATTTTCTTTTTAGTTTGTTACTATGATTGTTGGAATTCATTTTGGTTTAATGTAGTCCTAGCTCTCCTGAAGTGTTCCTGTAGCTTGGTATTTGATTTTTTTCAAAACACATCTTAAAGTACTGCAGCACCCTCTTCCAGAAGAGGTATTCTATAGCCTGACGGTAAATGTCCTCATTTTGCTTTTTTAACTGAAATGTCTGGTTTCCTGTTATACTGTGGGAACCAAGAAACGTTGGAATCATTGTGTGTACAGACTTGCATGAGTGAGTGAACAGACTGGAGAAGAGAGTGAGTGCTGTGAGCTTGGGAAACAAGCCCCCTTCTAGTATGCTGTTTTGATCTTTGCAATAAACAAACCCTAGATAATGTAACTTTGTATAATTTTAGTAGTTGTACTTGGATTGTTCCTTTTTTAAAGTGAGAATTTGTATTTTCTCATCTATTCTTTTTGGTGATAATTAACCTGAAGTTTTTTTTTTTCTTTCCTTTTTTTAATCTACTACCAGAAATGGCTATTGTGTAGTTTGCCTAGAAGGAAGTTTGAGTGAATGTCATATTTGAAGGACACTCAACTGTGTAAGGTAGAAGCGATCTTCCAGAGACAGGCTGAGCAGAAACATTTACTTTACCAGAAGGAGTTTTGGGAGTGGACGTGGGCTCTTCTGAGGTTACTCCCCTTTCCTCCTACCCCCATTTTCAAAAATCTTTATTACAGAAAATGCACATAGAAAAAAAAAGGGACAGGGTGGTTAAGCAGAATCAATAATCACCCTACTGTGTTGAAATAACCAATGTTAGTATTTTGATAAATATCATTTGTCCTTTTACTTTGCTAAATATGTATATTTTTATAAAAATGGGCTCATATTGTGCATACTGTTCGTAACCTGCGTTTTTCACTTAACAATATATTGTGAATATCGTTCCCAGGTCATGCATAATCTTCTCCATCATTTTTATTGGTTTTTTTATTCTGTTATATGACTGAATCATAATTTATTTAATCATCTACTGGACATTTTGACTATTTACATCTTTCACAATTATAAACAGCAATTCACTGAATCTTGTGTACATCCATGACTTGTCTTAAAATAAAGTCTTAGAAATAGAAAAAAAATAAAATAAAACTTGCTCTCTACAATGTATAAATAAAAATATTTCCCCTTTCAAAACTGCCAGGGAAGTACTTTATTTTTCCTTGGAAAGTATTAAGAAATATTTCCTCAGGTTACCTCTATGCTCCTTGAATGCAGAAGGCACGTTTATATACCTTGCATACTCGCATAGCAACCAGGACAGGGCCTGACACATAATATAGGGCTTCAATCCTCTTACCTGGCTTACTGAATCATTGCTTGCAACCTTCCCGGATGGCAGCTACCACATCTTACCTTTTCCATCTATCTCCACAGAGATGGCCTTTCTTGCTCAAACAACAGCTCCAGGCCTGCCCTGCCACGGCCACTGGTTCGTGTTTCCTAGCTCCTCTTAGAGTCTGCAAATAGCAGAATCTGAGGGAACTAGATCTGCAAGGAAACGCACACAGCAGAGGATTAGACAGGCTGAACCACAGGACACCCCTATATCGGGCTCTTTTCAACTAGAGAACCGGCTATTTCACTGGACTCTATTTTCCATCTGCAGTTTTTCTACCTCAAAAGCTAGTTTAGGAAAGACCAGCAGTCACGGGGTAAACGGCACAAAGGCTGCTAATATTCCTAACAATTTGGCGACTGACAGCTGAGCGTCAAGCGCGCACCACTTCCCGAGTCTTACTTAGAGGCTCAAGTGGCAGTGCAAGACCCCAGGCTTCGAGTCACCCAGATCCTCCAGCGCGGCTTCGCGCTTTACAATGGTCGCCAACCGGACGTTCCCAAGAGCACCCGCGGCCACGATGGCCCCGCCCACCAGGCCGGAATTCCGGAACCTTGCTTTCCCCGCCCAGGCCTAGGCCGGAGCTGCCCGAACCTAAGATGTTGGGGGACGGAGTAGGCAAGGCCGGCTCTGGGCGGGGCCTCGGTGACAAGAAGGGGCGGGGCGGGGCCAGATGGGGCGGGGCCAACGCCAGCGGCCCCCGCCCCTCCCGACCAGCGCGGCCCCAGAGCCTGGGCTGTGGGCCCGAGCGCTCCTCCTTGCAGAGTCGCCAGCACCTCAGCTGTGGCAGGCATCATGAGGCCCACGGCTTGGGGTCCGGCTGTGAATGATGAGGACGAGAACACGGATAGCACCCCGCTCCTGCACGGCGCCCGCCAGGCCGAAGCCGGTGAGCGGCGGGACAATCGAGGGGCGGCGGGCCGGCGACACTCCCGGGACGGGCGGTGGTACCGGCGCAGGTGTGTCCCATCCAGGGTACCGACATCCTGGCGGGCCGGCAGGAGCTGTCAGGCGCAAGGGGACTCAGCGGAGGGGAAGCCCATTCAGGGACCAGCCCGACCGGCCTGTCCGGTGCAGGGACGCCCTCGGGCGGAACCCCGGCAGGTGCAGGTGCAGGTGCAGGTGCAGCCTCACGGGGCCCGCCCGCGGTAGTGCCCACCCAGGGAAGAACCACCTGGGAGGGACCTGCAAATCAATGAGCCGAGGCCAGACAGAGCCTCTGGCTCCCTTCCCTGCGACCGCCAGGTTTCCGCAGCTGCACATCAGCAAGCATGTGATCTGGTGGCTCCCGGGCGGGAGGCCAGATGAAAAAGCATAGGGTCAACATTTGTGGGTGTGCAGAGCAGTCATTGCATAACCCAGCGAACATCTGCCATTGTGCTGAAAGACACAAAAGATTGCACTTTTCAGGGTTCTTCCGTGTACGATTTCTATTAGGAAACAGTTCAGTTATCTTCAAGATAGGGTATCTATGGAGCTCTATGGTAATTGGCCAAAGTTCTAACAAATCGAAAGGGAAGAACTTCAAAAAGTATCATCCCAGAATCTAGAGAAACTACAGGATTTGCTATTTGATACTTTTGTAATGTAGCTTCTTAAAAAGTAATTTAAAAAAAACCCTAAAGAGCAAGTTTGATTGCATGCATTCCACAGTATCAAAGGCGTGCGTGACAAAGAGTTAAACTGGAAATAGGACTTCTGTTGACCAAGAACAAGTTTTCCGTGGTCCACCCTTTGTATTTGTTTTTAACATTACCAGACGGTGGCAGTAGAGGTGACAACATTGTTTTTCCACCTGGCCTGTGAGAGCTTATTTTAGTCAAGGCTGAAGAGAAATATGAGACCAAAGAGACATTTTATCCAGAAATCTTAGTTCCATAAGCTGATGTGGCTTATGCTGTTAAAATTAGGTGGCCCAGTGACTGAAGTGCTAGAGTGCCTGCCTAGCAAGGGTGAGACCCTGGTTTCAAAGCCTATTACCATGGGAGAGGGGAGGACGAGGGACAGACGGACACTGATATAATCTTACTTTGTAAAATAATCCAAATGCCTTAATAGAGACTACTGTACTCAGTTGCAATTGGAATACATATGTGATCAAAAGTTAGCTCAAATGTCAGAAAATGCATATTGAAACCACAGAGGGCCATTTATATACTCCTAGAATGGCTAAAATAAATCAGTACTGACAAAGAGGTGAAATAACAACTTTGCTAGTAACTATGTAAAATAGGACAACCACTCTGGAAAACTGTTGGGTAATCGTTTTCAAGGTAAACATACAATACCACGAACCACACAGTGTTTGTAGCAGTTTTATTCACAACAGTCAAAAACTGGAAACAACTTAGTTGGTGAATGGATAAACAAATTGTGTATCCATAGAATGCAATACTACTCAGTAATAGAAAGGGACAAAATACTGATCCACATAACAACATGAATAAACCTCAGAAACATGCCGAGCAAAAGAAGTCACCATTTTAGTATGTGATCTCCTCGATTTGGAGTTTTAGGACAAGTAAAACTAATATGTAATAACATAGTGCAAATCAGTGATTGCCTGGAATCTGTGGGCAGGAGGGAATCTATGAAAAAGCACTGAGGTACTTTGGGGGATGATATGACAGTTTTACATATCGATCTTGATTGGATTAGACATTAATCACTTTCATTGTACTTTGATAAAGTTGAATGAAAAGAAGCCAGGCATGTAATCCCAGCATTTATGAGGCTTGAGACAAGAGGATCATGAGTTCCAAGCCAGCCTAGGCTGCATAGTGAGACCCTGTCTCCAAAACAAACATATTTAGGGGTGTGTGTGTTTCTGGAACATGCCAGTAGGAAATCAGCTGTACCTTATTTGTGCCTAAGTATATTGTTTTCTTTTTCCAAAGAGAAAGGCTGAGAAAATGTCCGAGCCATAAAATTTTACAGCCGTAAAAAGACCCAAGGTTCCCACTTAGCATAGTGTCATTTTTATGCAGCCATTGAGGGCCAAAGAGGCTTAGTCAGTTGCACAAGTTCACACACAGTGGTAGAGACTAGACTCCAAGGTCCCTTGGATTTTAGTCCTAACCTCCTTCCTGGACACATAGTGCTACATTTATATTACATTCAAGAAATTTCTGTTTGAGCTCCAGGTTCTGATGCACAGAAGACAGGCAGGAATTTCAGGATTCTTGGCTCCACTCTGAGAATGAAAGCAGCAGAGGGTCGGAAACATTTTATTTGTAGAGAAGAGAAAGGCTGCATGGGGGCGTGTAGGGGGACTCGGAAACTGGTGATCCTGTGGGTCAGCTTGGGAATTGGGCTTTTATAGCCTTTTTTATTGCCTGAGGACAGAGATGTGTCTCAGGTGCAAACAGAAGTTTCCTGGGAAGGAGAGGTGTCTCCTTGGCCAATTACCACCTTTGGGACCTCCTGCAGTCCGTCCTTTAATTCCCCCCTCTCAGTGATCACCCTAACTGCTCTTAGGGACAGAGATAAGTCTATTCAGTAACTGCTTCCTGCTGATAGGAGGTGATGAAGTGGCCCGCAGCATCAGGGCTGACCATGAGAAGGGTTGTCAAGGGGACCGAGATAGTAGGTCATTTTCATCTTCATCAGGAGCATCTGTAGTTTGATGGATTCTAGGCGAGAGGAAACAAACTTGACAAGTAAGTTTAAAATGCAAAGTCCAAACACAAGCAAGAGAATAATGCAGCTATAGGCCCCAGAACGTGTAAGAACCAAGTCCTGGAGGGGAGCCAGGATTGTATTTGGTTCCATACCTATGTAGAATCCTGAGTTTTGAGAGACTGTTCTTGGAGCCACTTAGCCTGTTGGAGAATGTAGTCTGCATGTTTCTCTAGGATGCCTGAAGTGTTCATTTATGTGCAACAGGAAGTATTGATGATGGCACATTGGTCTTGCTTAGCCAAAACAAAATCTAGGACCAGGCAAGAGACAACAAAGATCTTCATATGTCTTTAATGTCAAGGCCTACCTGGTCTGAGGTGCTCTCTACTACTTTGGTTAGGTTTTTTACAGTTACATGATTGGCAGCACCTCATAGCTGATTCCAGCTACAGCTGCAATCTATGCTGAAAACTATTAGAGTAACTTCCCTTTTGAGTTTAAAATTCTCACTAGGTCATGTGCAGTATAAAGTGGCAGGAGCCAGCATAG